CTTTTCGTTATAAATTTTTTTTTTTACTAATTGAATTTACAATATAGTTCCATTTAAATATCAACACTAGAATTAAAATGTTGAAAAAAGAACTTCACAACCCTTTCTTGCTATTCAAGAAACGTCTGCATTCAGAAACCTTCTTCATTCAATTTATAAAGAGGGACATACTGACACGTGCCTTTTATAAAATGGCATCGATTCTTACTTTACAATTTAAAGACGACATTTCTTCGAGGATTCGCAGATGTGTCCTTATTATCATTATATTTCAAATTGGCCCTAATGGCACACTATTCTTACGTTTTTTTTTTGCAAAAATCTGTGGCTCCCACATACAATATCGTGCTTTTGACGTATTACTAACTGCTGTGATGGACGTTTGTATATGATCGGACCGAACGCATGTAAAGTGCGGCTAACACCGGCTACTGTTTACACGAGAATTATTATTATCAGTTCGCGTTGAAAGCATTCCATTGTTGAATTTTGTGCAGACATTTCATTTCATGCTTTATCCCCTGATTTTATTTTCTGAAATACCACCATCTGTTTATATCACGCCTATTTCTTCTTTTTTCCGCAGTTATAACATCAGTTTCTTCCTGGCCTGGTTCGTGGTTCTTGTCAACCTCTTCGCAGCTGCCTCCTTCCTTTGGTACTCTCGCAAGAGGAAAGGTGACAAAGCAGCTACAGACGAACTAGCCATGGCTGATGAACCAACAATCATCGGCCGATGACGCTTTCAGCGTATCATAGTCATGCGACATCTCCAGTCGCGGGAAAGCTTCCTCAAATCTTTACTGAACAGTGCTCAAATGACCAATAGCTGTAACTATGTTCAAGTCTTCCATGTAATGTATTCTACGAAAATAAGACTAAGTGATGCGGCCCAGGTGACGTTTTGCCATCCGAAGATTATTGCGAAATGGTTCGATTCGTTAGTATGGAATTTTATTCGTAGTGAAATCATATTTACTGTTGTTAGTTGATTCTAACCGTTGTAGAAAAGATCATTAAAACAAAAAGAACTGTTAAACTACATTAAAAACATCTGATTTCACAGAGATGGAATTGCTGATAAATTGTCAGTACCAGATAATTCCGTATCTAGACGCGACGATTCAAAGTCTTTCGTACTCGATGGAGTCAGCTCTTACGCCCGATTGGTTTCGAAAACGGTGAAATTCGTTGGAGCAATCGCTTTCGATCACGAGCTGCAATGAGCTCATCCGATTAACTCGAGTTGGGACTCGATTTGAGTCGCATCACTAACATAATTACACAACGTCAGTTTCAGCTTTTAGACGATTCTTGACTGATTCTGTTACCTTGAATTTAATTACACCCTGAATGTTGATCGTGACGTTTATATTATTACGCCTTGTTAATCTTATAAGCGACGGAAAAATAATCTTTATTGCGACATTTTTTATTACCGGCTTGCAATATTTTTATGTGAAAAATGTATTTAAACTTTATACGCCTCAGACTTATGGGATTAACGAAGTTAACGTACATCATGTTATAAAATAGCGGTTTTTTATATTTCAAACATGCGTAATCTTTTGCGTTAAATATGTAAATATGTTGTACTTTTACTATGCTGCCATGAGACTACGTGTAACTTGATTCTAGTCATACTTATATTTATAATGCATTACGTTTGTAAGGATCACTTCCGTAATTAGTTTGAATATTTAATGTTGAAACTCATGTTCTGTTAATCGTAAACACAAAGATAAAATTATATTTGTATTAGTGGAATTTGTATCCATATAAGAACAAGTCGAGTTGGGACCAACGGGACATAAAATACATTATAGTCTAAACATCGGGGACTTATTTATAGAAGTTCTGTGGGGAGCGCAAGAAACGCTATCTTAGGAACGAACTTAGTGTGAGTTAAAACAGTTACGGAATGCGTCCTGAAGAGTGGTATTGTTTATTCCATTATATTTGCATTATCGTGTGTATTGATGTTATGTATGTTCTTCTTATATATAAATTCTTTTTTATTGAATAAATTATTCAAACTTTGATTTCATTCATTTCTTCCCCTAGTGAACCCTACCTTATCATCAAAACTGAACATACCAACAGCCGAAAGATGAGAAATAAATATACCTACAAAAAAAACTTTTCTTGCCAGTTACGTTAATAGTTAGTGACCAGACAACCTAATTACCCAAAACTTTTTTTCGGGGAAAATCATCAAATGACGTCTCCCGCCCAGGGTAAGGCGAAAGATAGTGTCAGACTCATACTGACTAAAATCCCCTTTTTCTCCTGCTCCGGGCCTAGGCCGCGGTTACACATTGCACTAACCTTACCTATAACTTAACTCACGGTTAGACAAATTCTAAATCGAAACCTAACAATAACTATTCTAAGTTTTTTAGTTTCAAACGATGCAACAGCACCGTCCTGTCTATTTTGTTTACAAAACTCATCATAAAGAAACCATAATCATGAAAAGACTTTTCATCGTTTAATTAAAGCGTGTTTACGCTGGAATGACAAAATGTTATGAATAAAATTAAAAATGGCTTCATATGTTTTTGGTTGCATGGAAGTAACGTCCTGGATTGATGAACTGCGGTCCAAGTCTTTAACATTTTACAACAGAAAAAATGTCGTATAAACTTTTCGACGAGGTTATTTTGGGATCAGCATTGTCGAAAGTCTGGCAGCCGCCCAGAGCTGAGCTGTGACACTGCCAACGTGAGCAGAGGTCAGTGGCCTAAAAAAACCGCAGGAGGAAAAACCAGAAGGCAAGAGTTGCTTCCACGAAGGTCTATCGGTCTTTTGGTCTTCTGTAGGGTCTTCTCTACCCAGGTTTACAGTTGACGCAGCTAATTATAACACCATCAAGGTTTGGAACAACGTAAACCGGAATAAAAATGGCAGATTACATAAAAATTTACGAAAATAAATCTTCGGCATGTCAGTTAAAATTAAAAATGGTTGTCGTTTTTTTGTTTGTAAAATGACGCCTCTAGCATTTTTTTAATATGAGGAAAACAAAGACGAATATTTTACAATCTTTTATAATTAGAGACTGGACATTTTGTTAAATATAATTTTATCTAATTTGGCTTCAAGAAAGAAAAATATCCTTTGTGCAATATGCTTCTATAGGCAAATACCAAAAGGGAAGAAAGTTTAAGTAAACAATAATACATGCCTACAATTGTTTTGAGTAGGAAAAATCATTAAACGTTTTGCTCGCCCACGTTATGGCGAAAGGGAGTGTCAGACTATTACTGACTAAAAACCACTCCGTTCCTTCTCCTGGTCCTGGCGGAGACCGCGGTACCTTATTGCTCTTGACCCGCAACCTTGGCTAAACATAGGCCTTATTGCGCCCTATGTGTCCACCTCACATAGGGCACTTTATTGGCTGGAGCGTAAGGGGGCCAGCTCCGTACGCGTTTCGCCTCCTCCTTAGCGAGCAGAAAGAGGAGACAGCTATTCAGTTCTTCTCGCTTGCACCTGGCCTCGACTCACCTTGGACTACAAAGTTATTTGCCCCATCAAAATAAAAAATCCTATTAATTGTATTATACATCCAACCTAGCTTCAGCCATATCTATGCCCTTTCGACAAACGACCTATGTCGTCGGCGCCGCCTATTGACGCCCGATACAGAGGAGTTACGAGTGCGTTGCTGACTTTTTGGGGATTAGGGATTTCGAGATTTAGGGATTGGGGAGGGGGGAAAGATTGGGCTTCCGGTAACCTAACTCACACTACGAAACAACGCTGTGGTTGTCTCACGACGGTTTTCTGTGAGGCCGTGAAATTAAAGTTAAGTGGAGAGCCATGTTTCAACACAAATGGATCGGCTTGATTGGAGTGATATCCAATCAAGCCGATCCATTTGTGTTGAAACATGGCTCTCCACTTAACTTTAATTTTAAAACTTATGGGTAACTAATATTGTGTATTTGTTTTCATTTGCATATTCAAGATGTAAGGCCTGAAAGGATGTCACTTATAGGTCCTCAAAACGGAGATCCACTAACCTCAAATATTTGGGAAGAATGTAAATCAGGCCCAAAGGTAGAATAACTTACCAACGGCCTTTGACTAGAGGTGTAGAAACTTAATTGTTAAACGATTTTCACAGTTATGTAGTGTGGATGGTGTAATTCTATTATAGGAAAGGGGTGTAGGTATAACACATCACAAATGCATTTTAAATTGATAACAATGCCAGATTGTGAATTACAATCTGGAATTTAATTGAAAGTGGTATTTTCACTCTATTTGTTTTGATAACAGGACAAGAAAGTACTAAAGTACTTATTTTTATGTCCTCGTCTTATCATCATCATCAGCCCATAAGTGCCCACTGCTGAGCAAAGGCCTCTTCTCACACGGTGAAGTTTTGAGCATTGTTCACCACGATTACTCAATGCGGGTTGGCAATTTCAAATTTCAAATTTAGAAATTATAAGTCCAGGTTTCCTCACAAAGTTTTCCTTCACCGTATGTCAGTGGTGTCTAAATAATCATAGAAAGTGCATATAACCCAGAAAAAGTCACATTTACGTACTAGTACTTGATAGGTTTGAACCCGCACCTTAACCTCTGGGCCACCACGACACACGCAGGACTCGTCTTATGCACATATAAAGGTACATTATTATCTGAGAGCTGTTGAAATGTACTTCACAGAATTACTTGGAACATAACATTAGATTGACCTTAAGGCGAAAATCGGCGTCTCTGATCAAGCACTTCAACACGTTCAGTTCGGTTTTAGTCTATTATAAAACGAAGAGATACTTTGTAGAGTAATTTTGCCGTCCTCGAAAACGACTGAGTAGTCTTAAATAGTTCATCAAACAAAACCAATAGAAGAATGAGTTCTAATTTTAAGTCGACGTCAGAAACTGGTGAACAAACATGGAACCATCGCACCATAAATTTATATCGAATTCATTTCAGGAGTTAACCAATTTCATTGTAAAACTCCGAGCAAATTCCACGAAAAAAAATAAAAACCTTATTTTTCATGCCGATGCCGTCATGCATCTGCAACTGGCATCAAAGCTTCGAAACCGTTCGATACTCGTTTATTAGTTACCATAGCAACCATTCAACAGTCTTCGCATGTTGTGCTGGGAAGATAATAATGGAGTGAAATAATTTCGGGTTGTAACTAAAGATCAATAAAAGTCGGGTAATTCAAACGAAGCACGCGATATGACTGGAACCAAGGTACGCTTTCACATTTTCGTCCCTTTCAATTTAATTAACATGATACAGTTTGCATGCAACGTCGTTGTTACGTCAACGGTAACGTTTGCTTTCGTAGAACTCTGCACGAACCCACGAACTCGTCCCCTCGAGACTTCATTATTAGCATTTGTAATGTCCATGAATTTAGCTTTAAGAACTACAGTGACGTTATTCGTATAATTTATTTTACGACGATTCAAAAATGACATCTCATTGCACAGGAAAATAAAAGTTGTCTCGAATGTTTCGAAGTATTTTCATTTTATACTTTAACGACTCATTAAAATTAGGGATATTCTTATTGCGTTCGTTTATGCGGGGCTGTTGGTTATTTACTTTGCATCAGCATATTGTAGGTCACTGAAAAAGCCTTATATTTCTTAAATTGTCTGATTACATATTTATACTTATGTTATTGTATTCATTACTTGTGCATGGTTCATACATGGATTATGATGTATGCTTTAAGCAGACTATTTTTTTTTTGTTAGGGGATTTCTTTTCTATTTATGAACCAAAGTTGGCTTGATTAATTTCTATTGATAAGACTTTTATATCCAAGTGCAAGCAGTACATTAACTATAAAAAAAGAAATACATTTTTGAGCTTTTTTTTGTGAGGGGAAAATCATCAAATGACTTCTCCCGCCCAGGGCCGGGCAGGAGGGAGTGTCAGACTCTTACTGACTAAAAACCCCCCTGTTCCTTCTTCTGCTCTGTGCCGAGGTCGCGGTACCTCATTGCGCTTACCCCGCAACCCCGGCTGAACATCAGCCCTATTGGGCCCCGACTGTGGTGGTCAATTGGCTCTTTGAGGCGCGCGCGGAACGCTACGCGCCGTACGCTCGGGTCCGGTTCTGGTCGGGCGGGGAGCTGCCCTTACTCGCCGACCGCAGGCCCGTGCTTACGGTGGCCGGAGATCGTCCCTCGATCCCCGACGCCCGTAGTGTCGCCAGTTGCGGCTGCTGGGGCGTAAGGAGGAGGATTGCTCCCTCACGCGGGCCGCCTCTCTCTTTGCGAGCATGACCGCTTCACAAAAGGAGGAGACGGCGTCCCAGTTCCTCTCACTCCGCACCATGGCCTCGACTAAGGCCGGGCGCGAGAGGTCGCCGCCGCCGATCACTTCCCTGAGAACACGGCGGTGCTCAGCCCAAGCAGGGCACTCCGCCACCGTATGCTCCACCGTGTCCTCCAGGTGATCCTCACAATGACGACACTCGGGCGTTTCCTCCCGCTGAATCCGAAACAGGAACCTACCGAAGCTGCCGTGCCCGGTAAGCACCTGCGTCAGACGAAAGGTGAGGACGCCGTGGCGTCTCTCAAGCCACTCCTCAGAGGGGTCTTACCGCTGCTATGGTACATTTTTGAGCTTGAGACATCAATTTCTAATAGGTGGGTAACCTACATCAGTACATATAGGTATAAACATTTGGTTTTGTGATTTGTTGTTAGCTATTTTTACAAAATTTATTTCTCTTGCTCTAGCTAAACATGTTGTAAGCTGTAACGCAATGTTTCTGTCAAATTCTTATAACCTGGCAGCTTATACTTAAGGTTGAGGGAGATATATAAACTATCCCTAGCGAGCGACATTGTCACAATGGTTTTAAAAGTCTTTATAATTACTGAGGATTTAAATATCCGTTAACACTATTATACATGATAATATATGTATATATAATCTTGTAATGTACATTTTTATATAAGATCCCAAGTGGGATCATTCATTTCAAAAAAAGTCACATCAATAGCTACGTGCCAGGTGTCATAAGCCCCTGCATGGTCTTTAATTTATATAAAAATGAATTGCTGTTCGTGAGTCTCGCTTAAACTCGAGAAAGGCTGAATCAACATGGCTTATCGTGGTCTTGAAATGTTGCTGGATAAACAGATCAAAGAATATGACCTAATTAAAGAAAAAACAAAATATTCGAGACAGGACGAAGTATGCTGGGTCAGCTAGTATTAAATAATAGTTATTATAATAACATTTAAATCTATACCTGTAGGGACATAAAACAAAGGAAGAAACGAAACCGAAACCTGATCAAGTAACTGTTGCTGAGGCTGAGGGTAAAACTGACGCCAATGTGAAAGTTCCACAGGCTGATAAAGAGGGTAGCAGTGGTTCTAGCTCCACAACTACAAAGTCGAATGGTAAGTAATTTTTTTGAGGAATTTATTCATTACAGAATACCTAGACCTGATGGCTGAGCAGCCGGCTTTAGTGCATCGTCTCAATCCCCCAAATCCTGGAATCAAGCCCCCAAAACGCTTGCTCGGAGAATCACTTTGACTGCGCGGTTGGTGAGGTGGCTAGGCAACTGGCTGCCGCGCAACGTGTCACAGTTCAATTCCCACACGGAATAACTCTTTGGGTGGATCCACAAATTGTTGTTTCAGGTCTGTGTGTGGTGTGTGTATGAAATTGTATGTTTTCTAACGCACCCCCGAGAATAAAGAAAATCCTAGTGGGGGGCAAGGTTTAAGATCATATTCCTCTCAGGTTCTTACAACATCAAAAATAAATCTGGCTGTTACTGATCAGTTGTCCAGTTTATGAAAGAATCTTTGTAAACTATAATCGCTCAATATTGAAAAAAAAACCAATCTGAGATCTTAATTTTACGTGATACCCTTAAAGGTACCTACTTTTTTTTTCGTTATGACTGCCCCTCTCTTAGACATTTATTCATTTATTTAATGAAAAAAAAAAATAAAGTACAACAATACGGTAGTTTCCAAATAGTCAAATTCAATACTTTTATCCAAACGTCAAAAACGATACTTTTCTATGAAATTTGTATGAAAAACTGAGCTATGACGACATAACTTTTTTGCGTCAAATATCTTACTTATTTCTTAATAATTAGCTAAAAAACATCTAAAAATTAGTGTATCGATCGATTGATGAATAAAAGTGTAGTTATTTTTCAATGTTTTATTTGACCTAGGAAACTACCCAATTAATACTTTTCAAAATTCATTGTATTTTGCAGAAAGCTCTGAAAATGGGATAGAAGGAAGAGATAACAGTCAACAAATAGGCAATTTACCATTGTCAGCCATTCATATAGATCGCGATGAATACTTAGCTGCGCACAGAGAGCTGACACTAGAACGTCAGCATCAACAGGTGCTCAATAATATCCTACATCGGAGACTTGCTGAATACTACAAGTAGGTATCTTACAGTATTTTTGTGGGCCTCCATTAACCATAACCACCCTAATGGCCAAACACGACGCTCGGGTTGCTTTGCGCTAGTTTTCTGTGAAGCCGCCGTATCACTCTGGATCAGCCAGACCCATTTGAGTCCAAGCAATGGCTCTTCCACACTCAATGAGGTCTTAATATTTGTTACTGGCTACTTATTCCGCGCGGTTTCACTCCCTGCTCGGCTCCATTTAATCGTAGCGTGATGTTTTATAGCCTATAGCACTCGGAACTATTAATAACTGAAAGAATTTTGGGAATCCGACCAGTGGTTCCAAAGATTACCCTCTACATACAAACTTACTTTAACCTCTTTGTAATATTAGTAAAGATTTAAAAAAAACATTCGAAATATAGCAGTTCATATTGTTGTTTGTCAAGTTAGCTTGTTCTTATATCATATCTTTAAAAGTCTACGTAAGAAGAAATTGAAACTGGCAAGCAAAAATTTTCTACTACCGTAATTATTATAAATGTATCCTATACTAGCTGCTCTCGCGCGGTTTCACCCGCTGCTCGGCTCCATTTGATCGTAGCGTGATGTTTTATAGCTTGTAGCACTCAGGAACATTGTAGCTATCGATTAGTGAAAGAATTTTGGCAATCCGACCAGCGGTTCCAAAGATTACCCCCTACTTACAAACTTACAAATTTTACCTCTTTATAATATTAGTATAGATAATGTCCACACATTTATAATGTGACATTCATTCATAAATATGTCTTTAGAACGTTAATCAAAAACGTTGCAGTGAACGCGAAAGCATTGCAACATTTCCCTACACATTATGTACCGTGTGACGTAATAAAGAAAATAAACTCCCTAGCATATTGCACGCGGCAGTAGAGACAAGTAACAAGACAAATACATGGCGGTACAGAATAAAAATTTTCAACCGTAAAATAAAAACTGACGGTATATTTATTTTACAGTCATCGTCTCGAGTTTGGCGCAAATATCTGAATTGCTCATTTGTATTGAAAGAAAATACTAGCCCACTGAACTGTATAAGAAAAACAAGAAGTTGTATAATACTTTGGCAGGCATCTGTACGTGTTGTCATATCTATGGCAGAATGCCGATGTTTCCCAGTTTATTTTATTCGTGGATAAATATTATGTTATGAACGATTTCGGTAATTGCTTGTAACTTTCTGACGGTTACTTAAAGTTAGTTTACTGGATACCTCAGTATCTTCCAGCATTTTATACCTTAGTATCTTCCGCGCGCGGCTTCGCACACGTAAAAAAGCAATGTATTCCAAATATTAAAAACAGCAGCGTTTAAAGCTAAAGCTCGAATAAAATACGCAAATCATTATAATTATATATTTATAGCAATGAACATAATTTGGAAATCCATTCAGGCAGCGGTTTGAAAGATTACCCCCGAGATATAAAGTTAAAAATTTCACCTCTTTATAAGTACTTACAGAAATGTTAAAAAACTTATTGTTTTAGGAAACGTAAATGTGAACACGTCTTAAAGCCTTTAATGGGTGCTTCAGATATGGAAGAAAAATATCAGCAGAAATTAATAAGTTACCAAGAACTGAAGGAGAAATCGGAACGGGACATTGCTGATGTAAGATCTAATGTCTAACCAACCAGATGTTTTAAACACGGGGTGGGATAAACAAAACAAAAAAGTTTTAAGTAATTCAGAAAATTTTGCGTATTTTGCATAATTGTTTCTTTTGAGTAAAACTTAAGGAATGGTTTCAGGCCTAGGTGAAGTAAAAAAATTTTCAAAAACAACTTTAAGTCATTGATTGCCTGCAGATTACAGTTGAGGGCAAATCCTCTACTACCATGGCCCACATGTTCTCCCTAGTGGCATTCAACGTATTAATTTATACTCTTACAAATTGTTGATAGCAGTAATTAATAAGATAATTGCGGTATCCTAGGTCCATATTATGATATGTAGAACGTAATACTTACATGGCTTTGTGACGCCATTTTTCTGCCTGTTTCCAGCGAAGGTACAATGTTTAAATTGTTTTATTTTCGAGTGAATTTGAATTAAAGTAAAGGAAAGCTTGCCTTATTTCTATAAATATGCTTTAACGAGTAAAAGGAAATTCAGTAAGCAGAAAAAAATAAAGTAATCTAAAAAAACTCCTTATTTAGATAAAGAGGAAGGTTACCGAGGTCGAAGAAACTTATACTGGAAGGTTGGAACATGCCAACAAAAAGTTTGATGAATTACAACATTTAGAAAGATCCACTGGTTCGGGTCTTATTTATTCTAGAAAGGGAAAACCCATTGCTGACAAGGTGAGTCATAGTTGTTTTTTTTTTGTGAGGGCTGTTCCTGCTCTCGATACAGGTCGCAGTGCCTCATTGTGCTTACCCCGCAACCCTGGCTTAACAACAGCCCTATAGGGCCCGTCTGTCGTGGTCTATTGGCTCTTTGAGGCGCGCTGTACGCTGGGGTCTGTTTCTAGTCGAATGGCGAGCTATCCTTACTCGCTGTTCGCAAACCCTTGCTTACGGTGGCCGGAGATCGACTCTCGGAGTCAAAGCTGTTACGCTTATAATGTTGATACATATATTTGCACAAATATTATTTGAGATAGGACGGCTAATGAGCGTGAAGATTAAAAGCATTCAGCGCCGCCTATGGACAACCCACAACATTGGAGGAGTAACGAGTGCATTGCCGACCTTTTGGGGATTAGGGATTTGGATATTTAGGGATTGGGGGGAGGAAGGATTGGACCTCTGGTGAAATCTCCAAATCCCTAATCCCCAAAAGGTCGGCAACGCACTCGTCACTTCTCTGTTGGGCGACCATGGGCAGCGCTGATTGCTTACCATTAGTTAATCCGTCTGCTCATATACCGACCTTATAATAAAAAAAGGAATGAATAAATATTATTTTATATTTTAGACCGTAGAACGCTTTCTTACCCTACAAAGGCGCAAGAGTGAACAATCTTCGGCTCTATGTCTTCGTTACATTCGAGCAAGAAATGCTGTTGCTGAACTTGAAGCCGTGGTTAAGAACCTGGAAACGATTGGCCCGGGGCTTTATGTGTATCAATATGAACAGCTCAATATTGACAACCAGAACTGTAACACTAAAATTGAAGGTATTTAATAATTAGAAGGTAGCTCTGATGCACTGAACTTTCCAAGTTGAATGCCATTTTTTCTCGTTCTTTGTCAGTGTTTTTGTTTACCATCCTTGTTCATATCAATAAGTTGTTTTTTTATTCATATTAGACAGTGTAAATACATTATCTTAAATAACGCTAATACACTACAACCAAATTCTGAAATATTCTAAAGATCCTTTCATGAGTCTGACACCGTTTTCAATTGGCCGTAGCTAAATAAATTACGTTTTTCACAGAACGTGAAGACGAACTTATAAAAAACCGCACGAAGTGTACAGAGCATAATCAAATTTTGGCTCACATCAGAGAAAAGATGCATCATACTGATGAGGTCATTGACTTTGCCGAGTGTGATCTTGGGGACGCCGAAATGGAGTTTTATAGAGCTCGAGAGGATCTCGGCATGGTTAAGGTAATAGGTTTCCTTGATCCTTACTTTAAATTAAGTGCAGTAGTTGGTTTGAAGTTTGCGTAATGGGGAGGTCTGATATAGCTATTTCGAGATCTAGATGGTCTTGAATTAGTTGGTTGTTACCAACAAATACTAGATACCATTTAATTTGTAGTGTCTCGGTTTATTAAATTATTTAAAATTTCAAAATAATTTTCAATAATCATTTACGACTTTTTAACAGAGTCATCGCAATAAACTTCGCTGGTCGTTGGAAGAAGAAAAACTTAAAGCAGGTCTCCTAACGAGAAAAGATTTACTGCGAGACTTCCAATCTTCCTTGGACATGGTAAATGATATTTATAGCGCATGCAGAAGGCACTAGTTAAAAAGAATGGATGCGATGCTAAACTTTGAAGCCATTTTGTTTCAATAGTACCCTAGGGCGACTTTAGCTTGTTTTATGTTCAGCGTCATTGGAAAACCCCGTAGTTTATCTCTATACCAATTTACGAGGACTAGGAAAATGGTCCGAAAATCTCTTGGACGTTTTACCGAGAGAATCAATGTGGATTTGGAAAAGTTGCAGCCCCTCTGATTAGTTTTCAAGCTAAACTTACTTCTTATCATTAAGCGATGCTGACGTGTGTCGAACTTTTATGTATTAGCAATTGGTTGCAAAATATAACAACAAAACGACTTCTTATTGTTTTTAAATCATTCATATATACATAAAGCTCAGAATGATGTGTCTATCAGTAGGGTTATATCAGTCATCAGCTTTTTGTGGTACACTGAGTACCTCAAAAAACTTATTGAAAACAAAGAAAATTACATGCTATAATGACATCTACTTTCATTTTAGGTGGTCCAACTTGGTCATAGGAAGAAGCAGTTAGAGGCTCAAGTATTAAAAGCCTCAAAACAATTGAGGCACGCTCGCAAAAATGTATTGGCCCAAGGCACCTTACATCGTCAACATGAAGAATAAAACATACCATCTACCAGTACAACTGTCAAGCAAAAACCAGTCTTATTGTTCTTATAGCACATGTATGTTTAATTACATCGATAAGTATAATGTGCTTGTTGTACTTAAAGACTAGAATGCAATGGTGCTTTCTATTTGTAGTGTTTGTTATTTATATACGTTTAATTGTAATTGATTTTAATCAGATATTTTTTTTTGTATCGGAAGTATTATGCGTGACATTCGAAATTTAATTTCAATTATATATATTGTGCTTGATACTGTCGTTTTTATATCTTATTTATTATAATAAGCATTTATAACATTGATTTAGTAACCATTTGAAGAGTTTTGTTCTTAAAATGTGATTGGCAAAATTGCACTCTATTAGGTTTCAATAGGACTTTAATAATTGAAAAATATTTTTAGACCATTTTAATACTAATTTTGCTTTATAATTTGTCTAAGAATTGTTAGGCACTGTTTGAGCTATACCAACTGAAATTACAAAGGTCAAATCAAACATTGCCTTGTCGATACTATCTTCAAATCGAGTCAAATAATACGAACAGAGTTGAACTTCGCAAAGTTCTTATCGACAGTTTCGCTATCGAAACGGAACGTTAATTTCCACCTTTCAATCACTAAAACTTGTAGGAGGAACGCTTGACGTCACTAATTAACCTTTGTCACAATTATCGACTTTATATACTTGGCCATAAAGTTTCGGTTTAATTGCTTAAAGTTTAATATGATTTTGATAATAAATACGTAGTTTTCGTAGTTTCGGTAAGTAGTTTTTTAGTAATCTCGTTACACGACACAGGTTCTGTATTTTATAGGGTTTTCTTTGACTTATGTAGAAAACTTCGATACTCATATTTTCAAAATCTTCATATGATTGATTTCTCTCACTAAGTGTGGCTTCCTGGGCTTACAAGTCAAGCGCAATAATATACCATGGCTTCGGCCTGAAGCAGGAGAAGGAACAGGGCGGTTCCTAGTTAGTAATCTAATACCCAGGGCGTGTTGCGGGGTAAGCGCAATGAGGCACCGCGATCTCGGCCCAGAGCAGGAGAAGGAACGGGGGGTTTTTAGTCAGTAAGAGTCTGACACTCTCTCTCGCCTTACCCTAGGCGAGAGAAGTCACTAGATGATTTACTCTGACAAAAAAAGGGCGAGAAGAAATCATTTGATTGTTTGATGTCTTCAACAATTATTTTCGGAATTAAGTCTGCACTAAGGGATAATTTAAGTAATCATTAAATGTCTCTTACTAAAGCTGTAAGTATTGTTGACAACGTCTCTGAAATATGATATGACGCATCCTAATACAAATTCAGTTTCGGTTCAAGCTCAAACTTGTCTTAAGTAATATTATTACAAACTATGTTTAGAGAACATTAGCATATCTATATCTGGATAGTGTAAGTACGGATTAAGTGTTGGACAAACATTTGCTTGTTTCGTAAATTTTTGTAAAAATAATTTACGAATAAAGTCGTCATTTATTCGTTCATCCAGGTAAGTCGCTGCTTTGATTTTAGTGTTATGTGGAAGGGTCCACATACCGTGATCCTTGTTTTAATATTATAATGTAGAAGGAACAAAGTGGTGTTTTGTCTCCCTCCCAACTAAGTCGGGAGAAATCTTTGATGAGTATCCGTCTCAAAGAAACCCGTACACAAACCTGTTTCAGCAGACTTTTGAAATTGTTCTATTTTTTGTAAAATGTAAATTAAGTTTATTTATCTTACCTTTTCAACTAGAGAATTCATTATAAATTTACCATTTTCATAAATAAAATGGTTGCCTCGTTACGTGGTTACAAGTAAGAGCTTTAGAATTTACAACAAAACAAAGCAGAAACAATACTCTTTTGTAAAAGAATGAAATAATTAAAACAAAGAAATATTAAAAAAGGAGATTTATTATGAAACAATTCGATTATAAATTCGTCTATAACTATTATTACATTCATGCGAACTTAAGAGTATAAGGCACTGTATGTTGTACTATATTAATATTAGTTTATTATGTTATTTCATCATTGACTAGTTACACTGGTTGTTTTGTTTTTTCTACTAAATCATGATGAACTGGCTTTGTGGTCTGATAATCTGACAGATTCTGGTTGTTCGACGGTGTCTCTGGTTAATGGGCCGTGTTTCCAGCCTTCTGGGTAGCCGAATTGTCTGACGTCATCCCACCATTGCTGTTTGCCATCAGCCCAAATGCAGTAGATTACGTTTGTACCCACCAACACTGCGAAGCACACCCAGAATGCCACTCGCCATTGTGCTAGCGTTGACTGAAACAAAAGAAGATATTATTTAAATTGATTTTGCTTACACAATTGATGAATTTAGCCTCTTTTTTTGTAGGAACTCGAATTGAGAATAAAGTGAGTGAAGCTCAGAATACAGAACAAACCAGAAGCCGCGTTCACTCATAATTGCATGTCGTCAAATGTGTCCAAAAACAATACGTCAATCCCCCCGCCAGCCGCACTTCCCACCCGCGTAGTGTTGCCGACAGTGGAACAATTCCCTTGGTTTGGGGTAATTTTACAACAGGAGGGTAAGATACGAGTAAACCCAACAAAATAGGTAAACTTACGATAAATGCAACAGACTAGTTGTTCACACATTTCATAGAGGTATCATAAAAGTTGACGATTTCTGCCTGTGCTAATTTTAGTTACACCCACTATACCTACACAACAAATAAAATAAAGCTTCAATAAGTAGGTACAAAGGTTTTATTGCGTTCCCTTTTGCTGGTTTAGTTTTTTATTTGTATTGTCTTTAGACTCGGAACTAAAGATTAGAAGTCTACTTACTTTACTTACTTCCTGAGATTAGCGCATTCTAGCAAACAAACTCTTCAGCATTATAATTAGTATAGATATATCTTAATAGGATATGCTGTTTTCAAACCACCTTTGTCATAAATATATTTCTTCAAAGTTAATTGAGCAAACTATGCTCTGGCTAGATGGTTTCCAAAATTAATCTAACCGTGCCCTTTGTATGATTTGTCTTTATTTTTTTGTCAGGGAAACAATATGACATAGGCTCCATAATGGACAAAAATATAACCCACAACAAATAAATAAGTGGGTAAAATTTTCACCAAAAATGACAACACTCACAAAATGGCCGCATCATTTTCATAGAAAAATAAATCGATAAAAAAAAATCAATAATTAATTAAATATACTATTGCAGTCGATGCTTGCAGATGAAATGTAATCTTATCCACTTTTTTCGTATTTTCAGTCGCATTTTTACTCGTAGTAATAACTCAAGACGGCATAATGAAATTAAAATTGATACTCGTAAATACGTCACGACATGCCACGTGCCAAAATTGACTAATCGTAGAAATTTCATACTATTCTAGTTGAGAATGGTTTTAGTTGCTTAAGTTTGAAGCGCGATGACGCCTTCTGGTTTGTTCTGTATTCTGAGGAGTGAAGATATACATGTACAAAAATGGCGTTTTATGTATAAAAAATCTTGATACAAATTTTCATCCAATTTCATCCAATCATATATTTTACATGAGAATTTTACAACAAAACAAATAAAGTTTCAAATGAATTTATGAAAATTTATCTAAATGATTTTAAATAACGATAAAAGTATTATTTAATAAACAACTTTATGAAACAGAAAAGCAAAGCTATAAAGACTAAGATACCCTATTATACAGTCAGAAGTGGACATTTAACCTCCTAGTTAGTAGAAAGCCCTCTTGACAAATCCGCGAGGAAACAAAGAGATAGCCTACAAGTCCACAAGGATCATAGATTACAAGATAACGTTGTTCAACTTGGAGAGGCTTTTGTCCGGTAATAGAAGTTACTTTCCCATTGTGCTTGTTCGCTTTGTTGGTTTACAACTTAGTCTAGAAAGCATAACCTACTTTCCTAAAACATAAACTTCACCATTTTACGTGCGATTCAATTTATTGTTCAACTTCCCTCGGATTAGAAAACAGTAATATTAAAAAAATAAAACAATTATTCTTCGTCAAAATTTGCTATTCGAAAATAGATCAAGTTACCTTGGTTTGGCATCGACTTTTTTTACAAAACTACGAATTAGCCAGTATTGGCTGGCCTTTGTTTACTTGAACTTGTTTATGATTTATATGCTGTTGTATTTTGACCTCGAAATATTAAGATAACGTCCTCACTGTTCCCAATGTTTATTGAATGAATGGAAATGAATACCTATTGAAAGTTATTTTTAAAGGAACGTAAAATTTTATTGGGCTATAAGAATCAGTTGAATCGCTTTTGATATCGTATTTATAAATTGATTACTGTTATCGATATTACATACTGACTGTATATAGTTTATTTTGTTTAGTACTGATTATTAATGTATAGAATTATTTCGATAACTATCTTCTCAATCCACAAAAAGTTTAGTATTAAAAACGTTTCATAGAACGACACAGCTATAGCTATCGGTTTCTAACATTTAACTCAAAATGTAATACAAAATCCAATCGTAAATTCGACTAAGTAAAGGAAAATTTATTCATTCGTGTTTTTACGAGGTAAGAAGCAATTAACCTAAATACAGTTATACGTAGACTTTATCAAACGTCAAAGCGGAGGTAGGGTGTGTTGATAGCAACAGGTCGATTAGTACGGAAATTTACGGGGTGAGAGTAATTAATTCCAACAACTAACTTATTATTAAAATGTTTTCTAATTTGGACAAAGCAAGATAACAAAAAGCTTCAACGAGGGATGGAATCAAAGAGAAACTGAGAGAAGATAACAATATTACCCATATTGTTACACAGAAGTAAGAAGAAAAAAAGGTTAGTATAAAAGAAGGAGAAAACTTGAGAAGCACGACCAAAGAAAATTAGAAAATGGATAAGAAGAAGGAAACAGCAAGGGAAGATAAATAATTTAATATACTTACATCAGGTGTCAGTAAACCAATAAGATAAGGAGTAATGATTCCAGCGAAAGTTGATGTGGTGTTTACAAGTGACGTCAACGTTCCAGCATAGTTGGGCGCCAAATCCAAAGCGTTCACCTGCAAAAAATACCAATTTATCGAATTAGACATACCCAAGTGCCGAAAAATTTCGTTCAACAAATGAAATGACCAACATAAAAATGTTTGGTTCGCCGGCTTAGCGTACAATTTGAACGGAATTTTTTGCTCATGCAATAATAATGAGTTACACAAACGC